GCCGTGAGCCCCAGTTTCCTACCCGCCCGTTTTCTCTCCTCCCAAACCAGGAGTCTCAACCCCCAGCCTCCTCTCCCCGCAGATCTTCCTGCTCCGCGGGGCAGCGAGGTCCAAACCCCTTTCCCCTTAGGGCCTAGAACAAAGGGGAGGCCGTTGGCTCCCCTCCCGCATGATCTCCTAATTAGAACTTAATTTCCTGCCCCCTGCGGACCTCTTAACTGGGGCACCGGTGAAACCGCCCTGCAACTTCTCCCTGGAGCCCCGGGCGAGAGGCTCCTGCCGCAAGGTCTGCTGGGAGTTGCAGTCCCTGGGGTCCAGGCTGCTCCAGGGCTGGGGTAGGGGGGAGGTGAGGGGACGGTGTGGCAGGACTCAAAAAGGGCGGAAAATAAATGCAACGATGCCCCCCCCCTCCTTCTGGCTGCCCGTTGCTTTTGTGGGGACCTGTGGGGTGTGGATTGGCACGTGGGTGGAGTTGGGGGTGGCACCCCAGAGGCAGCGCGCAGCAACCTGAACGTGGGAGACGGAGTTCGGAGAGGGAGAGTCCTCGGCAGGGAAGCCCACGCGCAAATGTGGCAGATCAGGAAGGGATGGCAGGGGCCTCCACGGGGGAGCCCCGCCTGGCCTGGCACCCGCACCCCAGCGCTGCACCCCGGATCACCAGATCCGGTGCAGAAGCTGCCTTCAGCCCCCGCCTCCGCCGCCAGGGGCTGGGGAGAGAGGAGGGTGGAAAGGAGGTCATGAGGAGCCCTCACCTGGCGCCCACGCACCACACCACCTGGCCCTGGCGCCCACGCCCACCTGGGCCATTGCGCCGGGTCAGGTGTTGGGGCTGCCAGCGCCTCCCACAGTGGGGTCCAGATGTTTCCTGGGGAGACACTGGGGAAGGGAGGAGAGAAGCAGGTGGGTCTGCCGCAGACACTGCTTGTCGGGCTCACTGCATCTTCCCAGCGCCCCCCCCCTCCCCAGGCTCTCAGTCCACGGGAGCTCACCAGTTGACTCCCACCCAGGGCAAGGCCTTGATCAAAGCTATTAGTGCCCCGGGCAGAAGGCAGGGCCCAGGAAAGCTCTGTCCAGGGAATATGAGGCTCCGCCCAACCATGGGGTCCAGCAGGGCCATCCGCATGGGGCGGTCCCGCCCTCCCTGCAGGCTACGCACCGGGCTCTGTTTCTTGGGAGACGCCTAGTGCCTAGCAACACGTCACAGGTTTTTCTTCGTGTGTGTTTTGAAGATATTTTAATTGATTTTTAGAGAAAGAGGGAGGGAGAGGGAGAGAGAGAGAGAAACATCAATATGAGAGTGAAACATCTGTCGGCTGCCTCCCGCACACAACCTACCGGGGATCTAGCCAGAAACCCAGGCATTTGTCCTGACCGGGAATCGAACCGGCAACCTTTCGGTGGACAGGATGGTGCCACACCGGCCAGGGGGTCAGGGCGCATCACAGGTTTTTATGCCTCAGGTCTGAGCCCCTAGGGAGGGAAGGAAACAGCAGGGTACCCTGATGGCCTACCGTGGTGGCCACATAGAGAACTGCCTGGGACTAGCCAATTGCCCCCACCAGGCTGGAGATGTTGATGATACACCCCTTCTTCTACAGGTCGGGGGAGGGTAAGCCTCCCCAGGCCCCGGGTCTCCCCCAGCCCCCCTGGAAACACACCCCGGTGTCTGGGACAATGGCCGTCTCCCTGGCATGCTCACTAGGTGACCTGGGTGCCTCAGAGGGACAGCATCCGACCTCCAGCACATCTTACGTCCCTTCCCCCGTCTCTCCCCCACCTCGCTGGGTCCCTGTATCCCTCTCGCTGGGCCTTTGTTTGTTATTCAAACTCCTGTCCATATCAAGACAGAAACATGCAACACAGCTGCATTGTTTGCAAAAATGGGAGGAAGCTCTGTTATCCGTGGAGGGAAGGACAGTGTCTGAGTTTCAGGGAGAGCTCCGTGGTCAGAATGTGACGGGGAGGCCTTCGTGAAATGTACCTCTATCCCGCCAACTTCTCCCCTAAAACTCCCTGGCTACCTGGAGGTCCCTAAACTAACCCTCTCCCCGCTCTCTCTCTCCCTCGCCCTCCCCCTCTCCCTGCCTTCCTCTCTGTCTCCGTTCTTTCACCAGCCATGACCTTGAAGAAACTCAACTTCTGCCCCTCCCCTTGTTTGCTTTGGGCAGCTGACCTGGCCAGGCAAGCCTGTCCCTGCCACTGTCGATTCGCATGCACAAGCAGCCCCCGCAGGGGTTCACAGGGTGGGCCCCCCCACCCCCCCGCACTGGCTCCCTCGCCCGGTCACCCACCAGCCCTGTCAGACCTCCTTTACTCTCTCACAAACAGCCCACACCGCGTTCCCAGTGCTGTGTCCTGAGTGTGCCAACCTCAGGGCCTTTGCACGGCTGTTCCCTCGGCCGAGAACGCTTCTCCTCAGATAGCCACGCGACTCACTCCCAGGTGAACAGCCACCCTGGTGTGGCCGGGACCAAAGGGTTTCGGGGGACATGGGGCCTTCAGCCCACAAAGTGGGACCGTCCTGGGCAAACCTACTCCCGCAGCAACTTCACATCCTGTTCACATGTCACCTTCTCACTGGGGCCTTCCTTCCCTGGCCTGCCCATCCCCTCGGTCCCCATCCGTTCCTGGTTCCTTCCATCTGTGGCACTCATGCCCTTCTGACGTGCCATCTGTATTTTACTTATGTATTTGTTTATTCTCTGTCTCCCACCAGAATACAAAGATCCACAAGGGGACCGCTGAGATTCTTATTTTGCTACATCCCCAGTTCTAAGGTGCCTGGCATATAGTAGGTGCTCAGTAAATACCCTTTGGATAAAGGAATGAATTTATTGAGGATCTATTCCAGTGATGGCGAACCTTTTGAGCTCGGCGTGTCAGCATTTTGAAAAACCCTAACTTAACTCTGGTGCCGTGTCACATATAGAAATTTTTTGATCTTTGCAACCATAGTAAAACAAAGACTTAGATTTTTGATATTTATTTTATATATTTAAATGCCATTTAACAAAGAAAAATCAACCAAAAAAATGAGTTCGCGTGTCACCTCTGACACGCGTGTCATGGGTTCGCGCCATCACTGATCTATTCTGTGCCTGAGCCCGGTTTCAGCAGTTTATGCAGATTAGCTCATTTAGGAACCGAAGGGTGAGTGACATACACAGAGGGTCACGTGACACCTGACCGGCCAAGCAGCCCGAGACCAAAACCATAACCGAGTAAGAATTTCTGACAACTCTAGGATAAGAACCTTGGGGTACAGCGTGCAGATGTGGGCCTTGGGGGTGGGTGGAATTCTAATCCTCCAGCCTCTCCCCCAGGAACCCGCCCCCCCCCCATTCATCTTCTCCT